GTCCAGTGGGGGAGCGTCCTGAGTTCTGGGGTGGGGTCTGTTGGAGGGTGGGGAACCATGCCGGGCCCCCACCCTAGACCTCACTGCTGCTGGCTCAGCTACTGCGAAAAGGACGTGGGGGCGGCAGCCTCCTCTGACCTCCTCTAACTTCCTAAGGAGGTGAAGAATCACCGCCAGCAGCCCCCGGCTGATTGCTGGGACCAGACATGCCCCCACTCTCAGGCTTTTACCGGTTCTGACACCAGCCGTCCCTTCCACAGCATGCTCTACTTATCTGCTGGGTTCAATAATTCATTGCAGTGGCCACACAGAATTCACGGACAGTACTCACAGTTATGGGGTTTATTAGGGAATTAACAGGCTCAGGAACTCTCACCATAAAATTCTTCTGTTAGGACAGCCTCCCCTGAACCACGCCCTTGGGGACGCCGGGCCCTTGGCCTCTGTGCCTGTGACATGATTCTTGGATCAGGGCAGCCTCCCCTCAGCCATGCCCTCTGGCACACCTCTCTCTGGCCCCTGGCCTTGGCCTGGCCCCTGCCTTGCTCGGGCAAGTGTCACAGAGTCCTTAGCTCTGCCTCGAGCTGCACCCAGGTGCACCCTACTCTACCAGCAAGACTCCTGCTCAAAGCTTTCCTACTTTCTCCTCCACGGGCCCGCAGGCCTGCCGCTCTGGCTCGCGCGGGTCTCTCTGCCGACCTCTCAGCCATCATCTCAGCACAGGATCTCGAGTCCAAGGACGTGGTCCCCTCCCGGCTCTCCTCGCCTCGATGGCAGTGATATCCCCCCTTTCTGCCTCTGGGAGGGCTCATTTTAAGCTAACATGATGGTAACACTGACCAATCCTCACATTGGGCTTCCATACACCATTCCCTGGAGAAGGACGTCATGCTTGGTTAAGTGGAGGGTCAAGGAGAAAGGGGCAGGCCCTCGACGAGATGGACAGTGGACACAGTGGCTGCGGCGATGGGCTCAGGTGTGGCAGGGACTGTGAGGCTGGCACGGGGCGGGCAGTGGTTCGCTCTGCTGTGCACAGGGTCGCTGCAGGTCAGAGCTGACTCAGTGGCATCTGACACCCACAGCAACACCTTATTTGCACGGCCCCACCCCCACAGGGGCGCCGTGTACCTTATTTCCATCACTAACAAGCTGTCCAGTCCCCTCAGCGGGCCACAAGCCCCTGGCACTGGCATAGTCCCACCCAGTCACCTGGTGGCGCCACAGAAACCACAACCAGAAAAGCCTTTCCAAGTCATTCCCCGCGTGGCAGCTACCCTGCTGGGCTCCTAGATGCACAAGTGTCCTGCGTGGAAATGAACAAAGCGCACATCTGCCAGGGGCCCGCTTGTAGTCCCCCAGCTGAATGCCCTGCCGGCAGCACACTGGGGACCTGAGTTCGGGGGGGGGGGCGAAGTCTGGCCCCTTGTCCCCACACAGGACCCAGCAGAGCAGACATTCCATAACTAACCGTCAGATGTTTAAAAGCGCATCCTGGTGAAGCCTTCCGAGAGCGCCACGCTGTGCAGACCGCTGTCCCCACTCTCATGGGAGGTGACAGCTCAGGGCAGTCTTGGTGCTGGGCCACACGGATGTGGCGAGTGAACTGGGGGTCCAGGAGCGATACATTGGGCCGTGTGCGGCCAACGGGGCGTTCAGAAGGGGCGTGAGTCTATCATTCATTCCTCCTTCGGTCACTCGCCCAGTAGAGTCATTCATTCTGCACCTCCCAGGGCTTGCGGCTGAGCCCTGGAAGTCCGGCTCTGCCACTTATGAGCCACATGGCCGAGGGCTAGTTAGTTACCGTCTGTGCCTCAGTCTCCCTACCACCGCCACCAGCACCAGAAGGTGCTGAGAGAGTTCACCTCATGGGTGGTTGTGAGGTTTCCTAAAGTGATCTGTGTGAAGCGTTGTGTCTGCAGGTCAGGGACAGGCCCAGCTGGGGGGTGAGGGCTTGCCGCACACAGCTCAGCGCTAAGCACTCACCACCGAGACCAGGGGTCAGCCAGCTGTCTCAAATGGCCAGGTAGCAGGTCTCTGTTGCAGCTGCCGTACCATTCTGCTGGGGCCATCATTCAGTGCCGTGTGTTGGTTTCAGCTCAGGGCAAGCGCCCGTGACAGAGTGGAACGGCCCCGTGGGGTTTTCTTGGCTGTAATCGTGGCAGCAGATCCCCACTTTGTCCCGTGGAGCTACTCAGTGGGTTCAAACCCCTAACCCCTCAGTTAGCAGCCAAGCACCTCACTGTCCTGCCACCAGGACTTCTCTATAGCAGCCACAGACAGTGTTTAAGTGACTGAGTGGAGCTTTGACCCAGTGAAACATGGCTTCCAGCACCAGGGGCTGGCCACCGGGGCTGTCCTTTGCTAAACCCTGGTCCGGAGCAAGATGCCGGAATGCAGCCTTCACCTCTCACTGGCCTTGTGGTCTTGGGCGAGGGAGCTCGTGTACCCTCCCACCCATATCCCAGTGTCATGGGATTCAACAAGAGCCCTGGGCAGTTGTCATGGAACCCGGAGAACGCTTTCCAGGCTGACAGTGGCTCAAGCTTCCGTTTTGCAGAGTTGCGTCTGGAATGTAAAGAAAGCATTAGACCCTGGGACCACTGGGGAGGCCGTAAGCCAAACCCTTGTGCCCGCTGCCCTGCAGTTAATTTTTGATGGGAACATAGAGTGCCCTATGAGGTCTCAGGGATTCTCGCCCGGCTGGGATGCTATCCTATGAGCAGCTGCAATTTAGTGAGCACTTACAGAGTTCAAGAAGCTCTGGTGGTTCAGTGGTTTAAGCAACAGGCTGCTAACCAGCAGGTCAGTGGTTTGAACCCACCAGCCACTCCATGGGAGGAAGATGAGGCAGGCAGCTTCCGTGAAGACTGACAGCCTTGGAAACCAATGGTGCAGTTCCAGTCTGTCCTCTAGGGGCGCTGTGAGTTGGTAGGTGTGGTTACTGTGTTCACACTTCCTGCCAGGAACCCTGTGAGGTGGGGTTTTGTCCCCTCTCCCCAGTCTGACCAAGGACAAAACCAGGGTTCAGAGGGGAAGCCCCGTCCCTGGGGCTGCACTGTCCCCAGAGCTGGCCGTCACCGTGTCTCCTTGTCCCCACACAGGTGCTCACTCCCACATCCGGGGGCTGGGGCTGGACGATGCCTTGGAGCCACGGCAGGTAGTGCGAGGGGACGGTGTGCAGGCACCTCCCTGGGGCCTCAGGTGGCGGGTCCCAGGGCCTGGGGTGTGTGGGGACGGGGTAGGACCTTCCAGGCCTCTGGCCACAGTCCCTGGTGGAGTTACACTGCAGCTGAGTGACTGGGGTGGAGGAGGGAGAGGGTGTGCCAGTCTGCTGCCTGTGTCCCTGTTGTGACTTTTCCCCGAAGCCCCCGCCAACAGTACCACTTCCGCCTCACCTGCTGGGGCGCAGTGGAAAAGCGCTCCCCAGCCCAGTCGGACGTTGTCCCATTCCTTCCTGCTCCCGCAGGCCTCCCAGGGCATGGTGGGGCAGCTGGCGGCCCGGCGGGCAGCAGGTGTGGTGCTGGAGATGATCCGCGAAGGGAAGATCGCTGGGCGGGCGGTCCTCATCGCCGGCCAGCCTGGCACTGGGAAGACGGCCATCGCCATGGGTAAGAGGCCACTCAGGCAGGGCCCTTCCGGGTCTCTGTGAGATAACCGGTCTGGCGTGAGTCGGGAGGAGCCCTGGTGGCACAGCGCCCAAGGCATTTGACCACTAACCAGAAGGTTGGAGGTTCAAGCCCACCAGCTACTCCGGGGTGGGAAGACAGGGCAATCTATTCGGTAAAGATTTACCACCTCAGATAAGAAAAGACCAGGTTTGCTGGGCTGGTGGAGCCTGATGAAACCACTGAGACTATGGCCCCGGCTGCCCATCAGGTCTAGAATTAAACCCACTCCTGTGGCTTCCAGCCAAACAACAGACAGGCCTATGGGGGGTAAACATTTATATCAGGCAGATACACTCCTTGGAGAGATCATGGGAGAACAGAAGGGCAGTGTTTGCACGGGGAGACAGCTCGGGGGGCAGGAGTGCCGGGGAGGGAAGGACACAGGGAAGAGGTAACTACGGGGAAGATGTCTAATGGAAACCCCAGAACAGCAGTGGCTTAAACGTTCAAGGATCTGTGGGTGGTGGCCACGACATGGTCACTTCCAGCGTGCTGTGTGCTGTGATGGAGTTAGCACAGGATGGAGGCGGCTCCTGACCCCAGTGGGGAGGACGAGGCATGGTGGCAGTGGTCGGGAGGCTTCCCAGAGAAGTCTCCCTTCCCAAGACAGAGAGACTTGTGGGATGTTTGGGACTCTCCAGCAGACAGCAGCGGTCAAACCATCCGGGCCGTGGCTTTGGCACGCGCTCTGACTTCCTTATCTGTCCTTCCGCTCTTCCTCCATCATAACGCCTGGGTGAAGCTGCCCGTGAGCCAGGCCCCATGCTGGAGACCCTCCAAGTCTGGTGAACATCCCCACGTTGTGTGGAGTGACACCTACCCCACGCCATCCATCCAGCAGCTATTTGCTGACCTCTGGTGAGGGCCACTGTGGGGAAGAAGTCCCTTCAGAACCCCCTCACTGTCTGAGAAAGTGGCCTTGGAAGAGACCTTGCTGCCCACTGGTCAGAGAACTCTGGGGCAGCCCGTCTGTGATGACTGGGCTCCGAGCCAGGCAAAGCCTCAGGACGGCCGCGGGGCAGAGGAGGTCAGTGCTTGGCCTGACCATGGGAGACAGCCCAGTGTCCACAGCTGGCCCCGGGCCCAGCGCACACCAGGTCCGGGCCATGGGGGGGGCCGTGGTCAGGCACCACTGCCTGCCTCCTAGCACTGTCCTGGGCTAGGAACATGGGGTTCACCTGTTCTGTTCTTTTAGTTTACTTGTCTGGTTGTTGAAAATGGACAGAGCAGAAGAGAGGCCAATTTGCCCGTTTCTCCGGGGACGTGGGTCGCCTCCTGGGGTTGTGCGGCCGTTCTTACCCTCCTGTTCTGAGTCGCTCCTCCGTGCACTCACTTCCTCTAAGATTCCTTCTAACCTCCCGAGTTGGCACTGCCCATCTGACCCCATGTGGACAGATCTTAAAAGAGGACACTGCTCACAGCAGACTCTTTGCTTTTGAATTTTACTGTGATTTGGGTGAAAGTTAACAGAGCACATTCGTTTTCCATTCAGCAGTTCATACACGTTTTGTGTTACGACATTGACTGCAATTGCCCAGTGTAACTGCTCCCTTCCCACTTCCTCTTCGTGGTTACCTCTCCCCTGTGTCCTTCCCTCCATGCACTCCTGCCCCTCCAGCCGTCTCCCTGCCCTTCTATTCTCCCAGGATTGATCGCTCTGAGGACTGTATCTGCCTGATGTAGGTGTTCACTCATATAAGGCAGGCATTCTTTGCTTGTTGATTTGTGCTGTCATTATCCCCATTTTACATGGGGAAACTGAGGCTCAGTAGGGACAGATGAGATGCACCTGAAGTCACTCAGCCCCTCAGTGGGGTCAGATGAGCCTCACCTAAGGTCTTTCAGCCCTAAGCAGTGGGGCAGGGACGTGAACCTGGGAGTTGGGTCCCAGAGCCGTCACTCTTATCTGCTCCTTCTGCCCCTGACCTCTGCCCCCTGCCCATTACCTTCACCTTGAGGCTAAAGAGCTCTTCAAAGTTGGGGGACAGGCTTAGTGAGGCTATAGGGTGTGACGGGGCCGACCCCTGGCTGGGATGGGTCTCTCGCCCGGGCCTCCAGACACAGCCTCTTCTCCTTGCTGGGGAAGGTGTGGGGGACCCAGTGGCAGAGCTGCACCCCCCTCCTCAGACCTCTCATCCCCAGGCATGGCCCAGGCGCTGGGCCCCGACACGCCGTTCACGGCCATCGCGGGCAGCGAGATCTTCTCCCTGGAGATGAGCAAGACTGAGGCCCTGACGCAGGCCTTCCGGCGGTCCATCGGCGTCCGCATCAAGTGAGCTGGGCCCTGGGCCGGGGGCGCTGCCCCCTCCCTGCCCTGGCTGGCCTGTTCTTGGCCTGGGGGTCCAGGGGGGTTGGCGATTCCCGAGGGGCGCGGGCTTGGGCCCTCCCCTCACACCTGCTGTCTGGCCAGGGAGGAGACCGAGATCATCGAAGGGGAGGTGGTGGAGATCCAGATTGACCGGCCAGCCACAGGGACGGTGAGTCGGCGCCCCAGCCTGGCCACCTCCGGTCAGTGCCGAGGATGGAATCCCGGGGGGTGTTAGCGCCGCAGGCTGCACGCCAGCAGTCGGGGGTCAGGGGAGTCGACACCACGAGCAGTTACAAGGAGGCGGTGGAACGAGAAGGAGGAAAGCCTGGAGCTTTGTCACGGCCATGCCTCACAGCTAGGGTTGCCTGCGGGACTCACTGCCACACTGGTGAGGGCATTCGGCTGCTATCCAAAAGGTTGCTGGTTTGAACCCACCAGCTGCTCTGAGGGAGAAAGATGAAGCAGTCCAATTCTGTAAAGATGGACAGCATTGGAAATCCCCTGGGGCAGTTCTATTCTGTCCTCTGGGGGCGCTGGGAGTCAGAATTGACTCCCAGCAGCGGGTCTGGTTTTATTGTCACATGCAGGTTACTACTGAAATGCATTTCTGTCCAGTTTACCTGACAAATACGATTTTTTTAAATCTTTTTCTTTATATAGTTAAGGGTTTTATTATTCACCTTTGCGGTTTACTTGACAAATACGATTCTTTCTCTTTTTCTTTATATGGATAAAGGTTTTATTATTCATCTTTTTATGTAAAATCAAATGCAGAAATAAATAAAAGAAGTTTGCGGCCTGATAAATTATTACAAGCCAACTGCCCTTGTACCCTGGGTGGTGCAAGTTAACACACTCACCTGTTCACTGAGAGCCTTGATAGTTCAAGCCTACCCAGAGGCCCTGCGGGAGAAAGGCCTGGCCATCTACTGTGGAAAAAATGGCCTTTGAAAACCCCATGGAGCGCAGGTCTGCCCAGACACACGTGGGTTGCCATGAGTCGGAATCAACTCGCCAGCAGTTTTTTTTAAATACCCTCCTAACTACCAGAAGCAACCCTGGTGTTGTGATGATTAAGTGCTCGGTTGCTAACCAAAAGGTCGTTGACTCCAGCCCACTGCAGGAGAAAGAAGGCAGTCTTCTCCCGTAGAGACTTACAGCCTTCGAGGCCTCCAGGCAGTTCTGCTCTGTCCTAAGTGTCCCCGGGAGTCGGAATCGACTTAATGGTCCTGGGTTTGGGATTGACACGCAACCAGCTGCGGACGTTGACAGTGTGCGATTTGATGAATCTTGACGTACTGGCCACTCAGGGTCAAGATTGTGGACATCTCCATCACCCCCCGAAAGTCTCCTCGGCACGTGGCTGTCTGGAAGCTGTGTAGACAGGCCCGGACGGGGTGGCAGGTGTCCGGCATTGGCCGGGCTGGGGCTGGGCCCTCTCTGAGCCCCTCCCCTGGCTCTCACCCCCTCCCAGGGCTCCAAGGTGGGCAAGCTGACCCTCAAGACCACAGAGATGGAGACCATCTACGACCTGGGCACCAAGATGATTGAGTCCCTGACCAAGGACAAGGTCCAGGCTGGGTGAGCAGCGGGCCTGGGCCAGGCGGTGATGCCGGCGGGGGGCTGGGCCTTCCTCCCCTCACTCCCGCCTGCCCTGCCCCGCAGGGACGTGATCACCATCGACAAGGCCACAGGCAAGATTTCGAAGCTGGGCCGCTCCTTCACACGGGCTCGGGACTATGACGCCATGGGCTCCCAGGTACGCCCCGGGGTGGGCCCTGTGACCCTGGCTAACCCGACCTCCCCACCTCCATCACCCTGGGCCCCTAGGGGCGGGAGCCTCAGGTCGTCCAAGTTCGTGTCCCTGGTCTCCAAAGCCTTCCCTGCACCCCCAGATGGCTGGGAGCCTTCGGCCTGGCCCTTTGTTGCCGTTTCAGTTATCCCGGCAACTCTGGTCTTGATTACCTGGGGGTCGGGGGTGTCTGGGTGATTCCCCATCACGCTCCTGCCTCTCTCTGAACTCCTGGGAGCCCCATCCCCTGCACATGGGGCCCCTTAGGGGTTCCCCTTCGTGCTCTTCTCAGCCCGTGTCTCCACCCCACCCCCACCCTGCAGACGAAGTTCGTGCAGTGCCCGGACGGCGAGCTGCAGAAGCGCAAGGAGGTGGTTCACACCGTGTCCCTGCATGAGATCGACGTCATCAACTCCCGCACCCAGGGCTTCCTGGCGCTCTTCTCGGGTGAGCCCTGCCCGGCACCAGGCTGGCACTGCTCAGCCACCCCTGGCCCGTGCCCTGCCGCCCTCTGGTGGGGCCCGCCCATGCCCTCCTGCTATTCCCCTCCCTCGGTCCCTGTTCTGTGAGTTCGTCCCTCCCTCTGGCTGGCTGGCCCCTGCCGGGCGGTCCCTGCCACTTGTCCCTCCTGCCCTCCTGTTTCCCCTGAGTGGGGACACTTCAGATCCCCCAGCCCTCTTGCCACTGTGCCCCTCCACCTCCTGCAGGTGACACGGGGGAGATTAAGTCCGAAGTCCGCGAGCAGATCAACGCCAAGGTGGCGGAGTGGCGGGAGGAGGGCAAGGCAGACATCATCCCCGGGGTGAGCGGCTGGGGCTGGCTGCCGGCGTGGGGCTGGACCGAGGGGCTCCGGGGAGCGAGTCTGATGTGCGCCCACCGTGGCCACAGGTGCTGTTTATTGACGAGGTCCACATGCTGGACATTGAGAGCTTCTCCTTCCTCAACCGGGCGCTGGAGAGTGACATGGCTCCCATCCTCATCATGGCTACCAACCGCGGCATCACCCGGTGAGCTGACCGCGGCGCCCTCCAGGGCCCTGGGGAGGTGGGGTGCCTGGGAGCGGGTGTGGCCATGGGGTACGGTAGGGACAAATGGGACAGTGGTCGAGCACAGTTTTGGGCGGGGACAGGCTCAGCTGATGTAACAGATGCCCATGGCTGTAGTGGCTGAGGTGAGATGAGGTGAGATGGTTTTGAAACTGGACCCTGTGTCCCCACCCCCAACAGTGCTAGGTAGGCAGGTGGTCTTGGGCGGGCAGCCCCTGCCTTCTGTCCAGTTGGTGTGTGCCGCCCACAAGGGCGCGGTTCCCAGACTGCTCCAGGGCACCCTCGGAGGGTGCAGGGCTTTATGCTTCCGAGGGAGGCCCGCAGTGACATCTGCTGGACACTGGCAGTAATGGCAAGCCCCGCGTTGAGACCGCGGACTCCGTCCACAGCTGTGGGTGCTGCTCCCGGCCTGAGGTGCAGGGAGAGCTGCCCGAGACCCAGAGGCTCCGGGCTGTCTTCAGGTTGGGAACCTCTGGCCTAGGGTGTGAGTCCCCGCATCCACCCTTCAGTCCACGGGGAGAGGGAAGGAAGCAGAGGCCAAGCAGCCTCCTGCCGGGCTGTGGTCCTGAGGTCACACCCAGCGTGCCTGACCTGGGGTGGAGGCCATGTCAGCCCTGCGGCCGCTGCCCAGCCTGTGGCCTCTGGGAGTGGCTGTCACTGGGAGTGGGGGGTGGGGGGAGGTAGCCGGGTGGTTTGCCAGGGTCTCTGCTCTGCCCTTTTCTGGGATCAACTTTCAGTCCCTCAGAAGACGCTCAGGCAGTGGGTGTGGTCCGAGCTCCATTCCAGAGATGAGGAGCCCTGGTGGCGCAGTAGTTAACCACTCCACTGTGAACTTAGGAGGGCGACGGTCCAGACCCACCCCCTGCTCCCATAAAGGTTACAGCCTTGGGAAGCCTGGGGGCAGTTCTGCCCCGTCCTACAGGGTTGCTGTGAGTCAGGATCAACTCCGTGACAAAGAGCTTCATCTTACAGATCAGGACAGTGAGGCAGTGGTTCGCCCGAGGTCGTGTGTGTCTAGAAGGTGGCAGGGCTGGCACTGGATCTGTGAACGTTTGGGGCTTGAGCGAGAGACAGGCCGTGGCCGGGAGCATGTCGCAGGATGGCTGTGGCTGAGGGTGGGGGAGCTGCCATGGGGTGTCTCCTGGGAGGAGGCAGCACACGTTTCCTGGTCACCCACTCTGTGCCGGGCCGGGGTGGGACCTTGACGCGGTCACCTGGGACGTGGGTATCTCCGTAAAGGCAGCCCCACTCCACCCAACCTCGCTTGGGATTGACGCAGGTGGGTGACCCGAGCCGGGCACTGAAGGTTAAGTGGTGCCTGGCTTCTAGCCCAGCCAGTGGGTGGCAGTGGGCGGGTGAGGAGTGTTGGCGCTGCGGCCGGCAGGGCCCTGACAGCACCCCCCACCCCCCCACCCCAGCATCCGAGGCACCAGCTACCGGAGCCCGCACGGCATCCCCATCGACCTGCTTGACCGGCTGCTCATTGTCTCCACCTCCCCCTACAGCGAGAAGGACACCAAGCAGATCCTCCGGATCCGGTGCGGCCGGGGCTCAGCCGGGCGGGCCCCACCCCTTCACAAACGGGGGCCTGGGGTCTGGGGCGAAGGGGAGCGCGGCCCCAGGTCCATGAACCGGCCAGTGAAAGAGCCTCAGGCCCGGAGGCAGGGCTGCTGTGGGGCAGGATGGGGGGCCAGGAGCCGAGGGGCTGTGAGAAGGCCCAGCTGGGCGGCCGGCCTGCCTCACTCTTCTAGCCTTGACCCCCGGGGGTGGGAAGAACCAAGCCCCAACCAACCCCGGGGGTCCCTCAGCCCCAGGAGGAGCCAGTGGCTTTGGCTGATCCCACCCCCCGTCCGCCGCCAGGTGTGAGGAGGAAGACGTGGAGATGAGCGAGGACGCCTACACCGTGTTGACGCGCATCGGGCTGGAGACCTCCTTGCGCTACGCCATCCAGCTGATCACGGCCGCCAGCCTCGTGTGCCGGAAGCGCAAGGTCAGCCGCGGAGGGAGCTGGCGGGGCGGTGCGGGGCGGAATCAGTCCTAGAGGCTGCACCGTTGGACAGGGCCCTGTGCCCCTCTCTGACCGCCTGGCTTGGCACCGAGTGTCTGTCGTGGATGCATGTGGATGCGCTGAGGGCCAGCTTACAGGGGAAGCGGCAGGTGCACAGGTCGAGCCCAGAGCCAGGTGGTGGAAGAGATGGGTTTGGACCCAGAGAGCCCTGCCCTCACCCACCACCCTCTGCGGCCAGGACAGAGTGGGGGCGGAAGCGGGGCTCTCTGTGGTGGGCCTCCCATGGCAGGGGTCCCCCTGAGGCCTCGCCGTCCCCGCCAGGGCACGGAGGTGCAGGTGGATGACATCAAGCGGGTGTACTCGCTGTTCCTGGACGAGTCGCGCTCCACGCAGTACATGAAGGAGTACCAGGATGCCTTCCTCTTCAATGAGCTGAGTTGAGTGCCCTACCTGCCGATGGGGGAGGCAGGGCCTGGCCCCAGCCTCCACCATGGCTCTGACAAACCCCCTTTTCCCCACAGAAGGTGAGACCATGGACACCTCCTGAATGGACGCCCTCTTCCTCCACCCTGCTTTTCCCCCGAGTTCTACACTGTGACTTTGTATAAAATGGTTCTGAAACTGGACCCTGTGTGCATACAGTACCGCCCAAGCCCACAGAAAGACACCCACCGAGCGCGGGTTCGGGAAGGCTTTATTAGGAGGGGAGAGGAGAAGGAGCTGCCGCTCTGGGAGTGGGCGAGGGTGCGGGGGGCTGGAGGGCTCCTCAGAGGAAGAGGAGGCCTGGGTGGTAGGGGCGGTCACAGGCCACAGGCTGGGCCCTGGGGCCCCCACAGTCAGAGCTGCTGAGGCGGCAGGGCCCACACCAGCAGCTAAGCGCTACAGGGAAGGTGACCACGGGGTCCACGCCAGGTGGGCAGCCAGGCAGCTGGATGGAGGCAAGGCGCAGCTCGCGGTAGGTACACACAGGCTGAGGCACAGGCGGCAGCGCCGACGTGGGCAGCACACGGACCTGGGGGCCATGGGTGGGGCCAGGCTGCACACGGTCTGCTGGGGCCGGCTCCACCCCTGCCCTCCGCACCGCCCACCGGTGACCCCACCTTCCGGTGTCCAGGAAGCCCTCGCGCCCTCCCTCCCCACACCAGCACTGGTCCCACGGCTCCGGACCTTGGGCACTGTGTGCCCACTCACCATGCTGGGACAGTAGCCTGCACAGATCCTGGTGGTGAACGTGATGCAGACCGGGCAGGCCTCGTTCTCGGCGGCCAGCGTGGCGTTGACGGGCCGGCACAGTGGCCGCAGCGGCCCCTTGGTTGCCCACACCCCGCCCAAGGCCAGCAGCAGCCACAGCAGTAGCCCCTGGGGCGGGATGGCACTTCAGGCCCAGAGGAGAGCCGACCAGCCCTCCCGCCCGCCCTGCGTCCCACTCCTTCAGGCCTGCCCCTCCCACTCAACCCCCAGCCCCAACTTCCACCCGCAGCCCAATGCCCTTGCAGGGGACCCTGGGGAGCCCACGTCTCAGGCGCCCGCTCTCGGGCCCTGCCCAAGCCCTTCCCTCCTGGCCAAGCCGGCTGCTCCCTGCTCGGAAGAGGCCCCGTTCCTCGTTCCTCCTGGGGCGTCAGGCGCTCTCACCTGGAGCGTCTCCATCCTCAGTGCCTTCCCTGCCTCCTCTAACTGGCCTTATACCTGTGGGCTGCGGGGGCGGCAAGGCCACTGGGCCACGGGGGCACGGTGGCGTAACCAGGACACTAATCCCTCTGGGGGCGAGGCAGGCAAGGTCGAGAAATGCCCAGCCCCGACTGAGAAAGCCACCCGCAGTGAGGGACGTCACAGGCTTCGGGTGCCAGACAGGTCCGTGGGCACGTAGAAAGTGGGGTGGAGGAAGCGCTCAGTTGGGCGGGCCCCTTTCAGGGGACCCCACCTCTTAGCCCATCTCTGGAACCAGCCCCTCCGACCCAGAAAGGATGATCAATTGAGACTTCAACCGTGTTCCAGCCAACAAAGCCGGAAAGGGGTCCAACATGACAAACCATCCCTGCTTTCTGCCCCATCCAAGTGTCTTCCTATTACTTCTCCCAGAGGTGAGGCCGCCTCCACTCAGAGCCCCCCAATAATGGACTTAGCTAGAGCCCGTTTACCCCATGCCCAACCCCGGTCAGCAAGATGTCTGAATCGTCCCCCAGGCTGGAGCTCAGTTTAGGATCTTCAACTCGATCTTTCATTAATAAAAGTCCATAACCCCCCCACAGGCAGGGGGCGTGGCCACTCGCTGGGCCCCACCCCCAATGCATCTTTCGGGGGCTCAGTTCAGGCCCGCGGGTGAGTCCTGCACCGCCCACACCGCCAAAAGAACCAATGGCGTGTCCCAAGATCGGCCCCGCCTCCGCATGGTAGGCGGGGCTCACCGCTCGGCCCCGCCCCATGCTCGGGGGCGTGTCCTGAGCCTGGCCCGCGGATGGCTCACACAAGCGCGGGCCTTCGGCTCCCATAGCGCGAGCTCTCGGTGCAGTAGGCTTGTGGCACCGTGCGGATGGCCGGCACCGGCTTCCAGTGGAGACCGCCCCAGGGCGCCTCCAGCAGGCAGAAACGGTCGAGCCCGCGGAGTGGGTGTAGCGGGGGGCTGTAGGACTCCTGCTTCAGGGACTGCTCCCCGCGGTGCGGCACGGCCGGCGGCACGAGGCGCGCGCGGGGCACGCGGACCCGCGGTGGCTGGCCCAGCCGAGAGGAGCGCGGATAGGGCGGCCGCTGTGGGCAGTGGCCCCAGGCCTGGGGCGTCTCCTCGAAGCTCCAGTAGGTCAGCGAGTCCTTACGGGGGTATCCCAGCAACTCCTTCCTGGGGGTGGGGAGACGAGGCAGGGAGGCTGGAGACCCAAACTCCTGCGTTTCGAGGCGAGGATACATTTTTGGGTGCAGAATTGGTCTGGGACCCCCATGGGGCCGAGGACTCTTAGTCTGGATTCCTGGGTCCTCGAGGTATTAGGGGCTTCTGCATCAGTAGGAAGAAGATCCTAAAGGGGGCCCCACCCTGGAGCCTCAGGGCTTGCCCCCAGATCCAGGCCCCCGCAAGGTGTCTCTGCCCCCCGTGTAGGTTCCTGAGGGCTGGCACTACAGGCACGTGGGCGCTGAAGGAGGTAGGGGCTGGGGTCTGAACTTCGGATTCCTGCGCGTGCACGAGCGGAAGGCTGAGACTGCGGTGTAAGAGAAGGGGAACCGACCCCAGGGGCATCCCACTGGTCTCTCCGTGGGCTTTGCAGGGGTGCAGCGGGCCGGGGACCCGGGCTCACTTCGGGTAGGTGCGGAAGTCCCGGGCCGTAATGGTCAGGTAGAGCTGATGGCGGTTCAGGATGCCCTGGTCGGATACGGTGAAAGGCTGGCCAGCCAGCTCGTCGTTCCTGGTCCAGGGGACGAGCGCCTGCGAATTAGATCGGGGGAAGGGGGATGAACGCGAAGGAGGTTTCGGACCTCGTTCCGAACCCCGAGTCCCGCTCCCAGACTCAGAGTTGTCCTGCCTAATCCCAAGCCGGGGTACTTTAGCTTCGCTCCCCAAATCAGAACACTTGCTAGCCTCTCCCCTCAAATCCAAACACTTCCTGCTCCACCCAGGAACTCCAAGCCAAGGCCCCAACCTCCAAAAACAAAACACACAAACTAAAAACCTTCCTGCCTCCGCCCCCTGACTCAAACCTTCCTGGGGCCGTTACCGGAGTTCATCTGCTTGTTGGCCCTTCTCATTCAGGGAAGCCTCAGCCAGCCTCCTTCTCAAGGAGTTCCCGGGGCCGTCTCAGAATATTCTAGTCCAGACACCGGGTGCAGAGCGCCACCTAGCCCCGTCCCCACGGACAGACCGCCGCCTAGCTCTGTCCTCAGCTCCGGGCCCCATGTTCCAGTTCCCCAGCCTCAGAGCGTGGATTTCAGGTCTCCTTCCTTAGAAGGGGAGCTCTGGTGGCGCAGTGCCTGAAGCATTTGACTGCTAACCAGAAGGCTGGCGGTTCAAACCCACCAGCCACTCCGTGCAAAGAAGATGGGGCAGTCTGCATCCCCGAGGATTGGATACCCAAAGGGGAAACTGATGGCAGTGAGTTTGGTTTGAGTTTCCTTAGAAGGGTTTCTGGTGGCATGTGGGTAAGGTATTTGGTTGTTAACCAAAAGGTCAGTGGTTCAAAACCACCAGCTGCTCCGCGGGAGGAGCATGAGGCAATCTTAAAAAAAAAAAAAAAAGCTACTTAGAAATCCAACGGGGGTCAGTGATTCAGAATCGACTGGATGGCAGTGGGGTTGGTAAGCACTGGGGTGCTAACCTTCCAGTTAACGGTCAGAGGTTCGAACCCACCGGCTTCTGGGGAGAAAAGATCTGACGATCTCTCCCCATTAAGATTTCAGCCTAAGCTTGGCCCTTTCTCCAGGACTCATTTATGAATTCTGGAAGCTGGACTAGAACGTGCAAAGGTGCCCTTCCTGGGGGGTCAGACTGCAGAACACTGTCAGACTGTAGGTTATGGGTGGAGTCTGGAAAGATGGTGTGGTCCAGCTTCTGCCATCCAATGGGTGAGGGGTGTCTAACTTCGTGAGGACCAATGACCTGTCAGTCCTTCTTCACATCTGAAAACGTGTCTGACCCTTCTGACTCCTGGTTAAATAGTTTTAATTACTATTTAATCGTTTTAATTTACTACTGATTAAATAGATTGGCCCTGGACATTCTTATACACCACATAAGAAAGAATATGGGAAGCTCAAAAAAATAAAAAAAGATTCCAGCCTAGGAAAGCCTATAGGGGTCTGCCCTACACGGTCGCTGTAAGTCAGAACGGACAGCAAAAGATAAAGCTTCTCTCCTCCTTCTGAACCCGCCCTTAAAAACCAAGCCTCTCCCGCAGCCTCTATAATCGACCTGTGACGCGTTAACCACGCCCCCAGCCTAAAAAATTATTCTGGCCCCGCCCCGGATCTCCTAGCCACGCCTCCAGGCTCAGAAGCCCTGGGATCCAGCCTCAAAAGCTCCAAGGTCCGCCCCCCAGCGGCCAGGGCCACCCCAGCTCTGCGACCTGGGAAGGGCCGCTGCGATGATGGTCCGCCAGCTCCGGGGGCTGGGGCACAACGTCAAGAGTGGTGCACGAGTCCAGGCCGGGCCAGCCGGTGTACTGAGACTTCATCTCGCTGAGACGGCGCTTTGTGATCAGAGGGAGGCGCCAGGCTTGGTGTTTGAGCTGCGGGAAGGCGACACCGGGACGCAACGTGAGGGCGCACGGGGACTCAAGTGCCGTCTCCTGCAGCGGTGTAGCGAGGAGAGGCCGAGGGGAGCACCCGCCCCTGGGCGCAAGTCCAAGGGGTCGCCAGACGAGACGCCACAAATAGGAAAGGTTCCTGACTAAGGCACCGGGACAAGAGGGGGGAAGACATTTCTGTTGACGTGTCACCTCTATCAATGTCTATTCATCTTGCAAATTGGGGGAAGGGCACAATTTAGAGGTTGCGCCTGGGCGCTGTAATGGAGGGGCCGTAATTTAGAGATTGCCCCTGGGCGCTGTAATGGAGGGGGCGCAATTTAGAGATTGCCCCTGGGCGCTGTAATCGAGGGGGCGCAGTTTAGAGATTGCCCCTGGGCGCTCCTTACCCTCCACATGCCCCAGGTCTTCAGAATTTTACCTTTTCCCCTAAATCCTTGATCCCCATAGTCCGCGTGGGGTCCGCGGGCTCTGGGGCCTTGGGCTGCGCGCAGGGACCGCCGTGAGTCTTGGGCTGGAAAGCCGAGCCGGAGGTGGTCTCCCACCTGCTGAGGACCTCATCGAAAGCCCAGATGTGCGGACCCTGCTTTACGGCCGGGGGTAGGGGCTCCGCGACCGTGGACTGGAAACGTCAGCGACCGGTGCATCACCGAAAAAGACCCAGGAGGCTTTTCTTCAACTTTCAAGTGCATCCAAGTTCCCTCCTCCCTCAAACCGGAACCCAGCAGCCCACGCCCCTTTCCTCGCGGCACCCAGTCTCTGTTTCAGACACAAGCGTCCTGCCCGCAGCCCCCCAGCCCCAGGAGCCAGGGTCCTGTCACCTGCACAGTGGGCGGGGGAAAGGACACCACTGGGATAACGTGGTGGCCGACCCCGGTGCTGGTGAGAGGCCATTCGGGCCAGGATCCAGGCACCTCGGTCCAAGAGATAGGAGGCCATGGCCGGCCGTAGCGCAGAGCCAGGGTCCTACCCGCCATGCCCCCACCCCCAGCAGCCGCAGTTTTGTTGTTCCTGTTGCCCCAGGCGACAGAACCCGCCTACCCGACAACCAGCCAATGGAGAGCCTGCAGACCTGTGGGTATACAGCGTGAGAAAGAGACACTGGGACATAGACTGGGAGGCTGGCAGACGGAGAGAAAATTTCGGAGAGAAAATTGTGGGGAAACCTAGAGAGAGTGGGAGAGAAACCCAGGGGTAGGAATGGAGGGGACAGAGTCCAGCGAGTGTTTCAGGGACCCAGAGTGAGGGGGACAGGGACCCAGACAGGGGAGAATACAGACCCAGAGAGAGAGGGACAGAGACTCAGAAAGGAAGGGGAACAGAGAGAACGGTGCAGAGACCAAAAAGGGGGGACAGAGATCAGAGGGGAACAGAGACTCGTGGGGGGGGGGACAGAGACCCAGATAGATGGAGAGACCCAAAGAGAGAGGGGGACAGGGAATCAGAGGAGGGGACAGATAACAAGAGGACAGAGACCTGGGGGTGGGGTCAGAGATCTGGAAAGAGAAGGTGAGGAACCCAAAAGGTCAGGGGGACAGAGTCCACCCAGAGCATGAGGCAGTCCAAGAACACACCCCCCCTCCTCCAGACACAACTCTCGGTCATAGGCAGGGTCCTAGCACCCTCCCAGGTCGTCTCCTCCCTGTACCAGGCCTGCCCACTCTGGGGGTAACGGTTTCCAGACTCCCCAGACCCCTTGCTGGCTCATCCCCCCCACATCCGTCCTGCAGTTAGCATGGCACACCCCGCTTACTTCTCATTGGGTTGGAAATTTCCACCTGGGTATGGGGGTAGGTGACAAGGGAGAGACCCACAGAGAAATACTTGGGGGTGGGGTGGGGAGAGGGAGCCCCAGAGAGTGGTGCTGAGTAAGAAGGAAACAGAGGAACGAGGGAGAAACAGAGAGTGACTGACTCAGGGACGAGAGACACAACACAGGAAGTGAGACAGAGGCAGAGATCTCGGAGGGCGGAAGAAACAGGCAGCCAGACCCTTCGCAACCTTGCCCCTAACCCTTCCCAGGGATCCAGTTTGTGTCCTTGGGGAAGGCAGACAGCTCTGAACAATGTGTCTGTGTGCGCAGGCACAAGAATGTCCCTGGGTGGTGCAACCAGTTTACGACCAACAACTAATCCGAAGATCAACAGTTCAAACCCAGCCAGGCCTTGAGAGCAAGAACTAATGATCTTCCCAAAAGATTACAGCCAAGTCCCGGTGCAGTTCTATTCCGTAATTCTGTGAGTTACGACGTCTTGGAATCAACTCTATGGAAAGGTTTTGTGTTAAATTGTGTGTGTGTTGGCAACAGGGGTAAAGTCACACAGCTGTCATACATGCAGGGGTGTCCCAGGGTATGGGTCTGCCCTTGGCTTCCTCCTTCCTTACCTCTTCCCTTTAAAGACCTTTTGGTCAAGTCCTCTGCCTCCCTGAGCCCTAGGAGGTCATCCCATCAGCCCACTCTTCAGATAGAGAAACTGAGGCTACCTTCCGCCGCCTCGCTCAGGGCCCCGCTGTACCACCGTTCAGGCTCCTGGGGGCCATTCCCTGGATCGATTTTCCTGGCCCTACCTGAAACCTGTCAGTGTTCCTGTGACCCCTGATCCTAGCCAGGGGCAGCCCAATGGGTCAGAACCTGATGTCCTGCTCAAGCAGGGCAAATTTCAAGTCTGTTTCCCTCTCAGTGTGGGGTAAGGGTTGAGGTGGGGATGGGACAGGTAGAAACTTGACTCCCTGCCCAGGGCTGAGCTCGCCAGCATCCTGACCTCCTATCATCCGACTTTACTTGTATTCCGCCTGTGATGAGAGGCTCACTACTTTTCAAGCCAGTCTCAACACTCTAAGCCAATATTTGCCCCCCAAAACCCAGCAAGATTTCCCATTCGAGCTGCAGTTTTTGGATTCTTCAAGGCCTTTCCGTGCGCTCACGGTCTCAAGGTCTTCCGGCTGGTTCTAGGCTCTCCCACTCATTTATTGACATATCCCCCTTCTTATCCCTCACTCCACCGGGGGACAGGTGGGGTCCTCTGAAAATAAGGGCTCAACAGCTTAGAAGCCGAGAACCTCCAAGGCTCGAATCCACAAGTAATCTGATGAGTCAAGTATGACTGGTAAACAGTAAGCACTCAGTAAATATTGGCCATCATCATCATCTAACGTTTCTCCAGCAAACTCCTATTCATCTCTCAAAACCCCACTTGGTTTCACCACCTGTCCTCCACAAATTGAGCTCTTGAAATCAGAGGGCTGGGGTTTGGCATCCATTTGACAAGTCTGCAAATTGAGGCCTTCCCAAGGTCCCTCAGCATCCGGGTCTCTTTCCTGGCCTGTCCAGTTCCAGGGCAAAGACTCAGGTCCGGCCAGTACGGCTGAGGAGGGTGCAGACACAAGCGGTATCGATTCGAATCCATCGCCAGCCCACGCGGCCCTGGGCGTCCGCAGTCAATGCCCGAACATAAGACTGCTTGGCCTTGCACTCAGACACCCAGTGTCGCCGGTCCACACCCCGGCAACCCCCGCTACCCCCACCGGGGCTGTCTTCCCCAGAACTGTCGGCCTTGCATCTGGTCTCAAAGAAGTACTGGCGGAGAGGGCTGCCACCGGCCGCTGGTACCTCGCCCAGCACCTCCACCTCGCGCCCACGCAGGTCCACGGCCGTCCGCCGGTCTGTCACCCAGCCGCTGACTGCATCACAGACGGCCAGCTCGCCCCGGCGACTGGCTGGTGCTGTCTCGCTCACCCCACGGCGGCTGCGGTTGGCTGGGATGCCCGCAGGCTCTCCGAAGGCCCCAGCCTCCAACAGGAAGAGCAGAGGGGGTCCTGAGGGGACACCCCGGGACAGGACTACTCGGGGGGACAGGAGGTCCCACTCAGGGGCCAGAAATGGGGGCAGTGGTACGGGTGGGGGGTGGGGCTCTGACAGGAGACTGGGGAGGAGGAAGAGGAGAAGAACGGGGAGGGGGGCTGACGGGTGGGGGGGCATCTTGCTGAGCACCTGAGGGGAGAGAGGAGGGCCGGGGTTAGGGAAGACAGCAAAACCTGGGAACCAGGGGGCCAGGTCAGAACCGTGGGGCGGCCTTTGCAGAACTTTCGTGAACCCCCTATTCTGGGACTTGGGTAATGCCCAACTCCTAGTTTACTAATAAATATTCTATTACTATTACTAATGAAAGGGGTTCTGGTGGCTGTGGTTAAAGGACTGAGCTGCTAATGAAAAGGTGAGTGGTTCCAACGCACCAGCCGCTCTGCAGGAGAAAGATGGGACAGTCGGCTTCTGTAAAGATGACAGCCTTGGAGACCCTGTGGGGCAGTTCCACTCTGTCCTCTAGGGGCGCTGTGGGTCAGAATCAACTCCACAGCAGTGGGTGTGGTTTGGGCTTTGCTTCTGTGAAGATTGACAGCCTTGGAAACCATGTGGTGCAGTTCCACTCTGCCCTCTAGGGGCGCTATTGATTTGATGGCAGTGGGTGTGGGTTTTGGGTTTGATTATTCATAATGTAGAGTCTGGGGTGGCACAGTTCAGCGCTCAACTATTGGCTGAAAGGTTGGTGGCTGGAACCCACCCAGAGGTGCCTTGGAAGAAAGGCCTGGCAATCTGCTTCTGAAAGTTCACACCCTTGAAAACCTTATGGAGCACAGCTCTAATCTGCATTACCAGGAGTCGGGATTGACTCAACAGCAACTGACAACAACAGTCATAAAGCAAAAAAATGGGGAAACACAGGCTCAGAGAGGTTTGTGACTGGCACCAGGTCAGCCCACAAATAAATGACAGATTTGGGGCTTGAACCCATGTTGGGAACCTTCACTCGCCCATCCTGCCTCTCTATATAAACCCGAGGAGCCCCAAACCTCGCTGCTTGGAGGAAATGTGAATTCCAAATTTTCAAGGAAGGCCATGTTCAGTTGAAAACTGACAAAAACAAGACAAGACAGTCAGTCTCCCTCTCAGGCAAGGCCTTAATTCTGTGAACTAGACCTACCATGGGTGCTCTGGTGGCGCAGTGCCTAAGGCATCTGACTGCTAACCAGAAGGCTGGCGGTTCAAACCCACCAGCCACTCCTCGGAAGGAAGATGGGGCAATCTACTTCCATAGTGATACTGCCTCGGAAACCCAAGAAGGGGTCACTATGAGTCAATGGACTCCAAGGCAGTGAGTTTGGGGGATGCTGGTGGGGGCGTGGCTACTGCAGTTTTTCTACAATTTTCTGGAACCTATGGCTGTGGGAGCGTATCCTGGGGCGGGTTGGGGAGCAGTGCGTGGTTACCAGACCTGTCAGCACCTCCTCCGCCTCCGAGCTCCCGGGCTGGGGGCCCCCAGGTTCCAGGGGACCCCTGTGGGGGACACAGGTGGCCCCCTCCTCCCTGACATGTCAGGAGAGGGAGGGGGCAGGCACCTAGGGAGAAGGAAGGAACACGCAGGTGTGGATAGGCAGGAGAGGGGAGGGCTGAGACCCCGACACCCCATTCTCTGCCTCCTTCTTACTATATAAGGTACCCAGGAGTCGGGGGCCGCCCCCTTCCCAGAGGCCCCTTCCCTGCCCAGGTGATGGCTCCTGGCGGAGATGGGAAGCAGATGGGGGGAGGGCACAGGCAGCAGATGGAGGAGGCTGGAAAAGATTACAGCCTCTTCCTCGGCCCATTCATCTCCCAGACGCGGCGGGGGCGGGGCGGGTCTGGGCACTCGCGTCCCCGAGGGCCCGAACTCCAGAGGGCCCTGGGTCCCCAAGGCTGCTTCCTGGAATGTTCTCTCCTCACGGGACAGGCCGGGGCCCGCCCAAGGCTTCCACTCACATACCTGGCGTGGTTGCTTGCCCTGGCGGTGAGTCGGGGAAGGGAAGGGTGCGGTGTGAGGAGAGGCGCATGCTGCCCGGGCCAGGACCAGGAGACCCAGCCTCCAGCCCCTCCCCCCCAGACCCAGGAGACCAGGTGCCCCCCAAACCCTCCTCCCCCAGACCCAGGAGTCCAGGCCCCCCCAGACCCAGGAGACCAGGCGCCCCCCAAACCCTCCTCCCCCAGACCCAGGAGTCCAGGCCCCCTCCTCCCCCAGACCCAGGAGACCAGGTGCCCCCCAGACCCAGGAGTCTAGTCTCCCCCAGACGTAGGAGAC